AGAGAGGAACTGGAAAAGACCTGGAAGGTGAAGACCACAGTTCTAGGCACAGCCAAGATATTACGCAGAACCCTCAAGCTCCGAGGCCTCTACCTCTCAGCACAGGTAGAGGACCTGAGCTGAGAGTGAGAGTGAGACAGAGAGAAAGAGACACTACCTGCAGAGGGTGAGAAGGGAATTTTGCGCTAGACTTTCTTGCTGTCCGTCACTTTGACTGACAGCATAAGGAAAATCCACCATGTACTATTTTCACTTGTCAAATTAAAAAATAGGCTAATCAGTTGCATTAGCATTTTTTTATGCAGTTTAGTTAATATTCACTTGAATTACAAGCAAATCAGCTGCTGGGTTCTGAACGCACAGTCTCACAAATTCCTCCTGGTCCCAATCTGCAGAGAAATCTGCGCTAGTTCATCAGAGTTGAATTGATCAAACCGATCAATTGAACTCTGCCAGCTTTTTACCCTGTGCGTGGTCCGGTGTGTGCTTTTAACCAGATTTTATTGTGTGGTTTCACATCTCCGAAACGGATACGCGCTCCATGAGGGTGCAGGAGGGTAACGTCTTCAGCTAAATTTGTTGAAACAGCAAACTGAGTTAAGTTTAATTCTTTTTAGTTGTGCAGCGCACTGCACATGTTATGGTCTAATTAATTTCTGCACATTTATTTATTTCCTAAAGATAAACTGTCAGCTCCTCTGTTTAGATTATAAATAGATCAGCACAACAATGCATGCTCTTTAGTTTTCTCTGGTCTTTAATGGAGACTGAAATTAAACGCACCATTTCAACCAAAGTTTGGAACGTGCTTCCTAAGCAGATGCTCCAAAGCGTCCGGTCCATAACTCTTCAACACGCTGTCAGCTCCCGGTCAGAAAGACACATTTAGTTCAATCAATCAAATTTTATTTGTATAGCACATTTTAGCAGCAAGGCATTTCAAAGTGCTTTACATAATTAAAATAAAAATTGATTAAACAGTGAAAGAAAGATATTTTGAAAAAGATTAAAAAAGATAAAAACATTAGACAGTGTAACAGAGAAATAAAAAGTTAATAACTAGATGAAAAGTAAAGATAAAAACATTAAAAACATTGAAGACATCAAAACCCGCAATTTAGCCATAAGCAACTCTAAACAGGTGGGTTTTAAGTTGAGATTTAAAGGCACTCAGTTTGTTCCAGATTTGTTGTGCATAGAAGCTGAATGCTGCTTCTCATCGTTTGTTTATGGTTCTGGGGATGTAGAGCAGAACCAGAACCAGAAGATCTGAGGGGTCTGGAAGGTTGGCACAGCAATAACAGATCTTTAATGTATTGTAGTGCTAACCCGTTTAGTGATTTATAAACTAACAACAGTATTTTAAAGTCTATTCTCTGAGCTACAGGGAGCCAGTGTAGGGACTTTAAAACTGGTATTATGTGCTCTATCTTCCTGGTTTTAGTGAGAACACCAGCAGCAGTGTTCTGGATCAGCTGCAGCTGTTTGATTGATTTGTTAGACAGACCTGTGAAGACGATGTTGCAGTAATCAATGCGGCTGAAGATAAATGCATGGATGAGTTTCTCTAGATCGTGCTGAGACATTAGTCCTCCAATGCAGGTGTCCATGAGATGATATTCAAAAACATTTTTTTATTGATTAATTTTAGCTGCCTCTGCGATGAATTCTTTGCGTAAAGTTTATAATGTCTGTCCATGTGCACCAGTCAAGGGTGTGAATTATAACCTGTCAAAATGACAGCCAAGCTTTGAATTTTTCCATTGTTTAAAAAGAAAAAAAATCAAATACAGAAAATATTCCGTTAACGTGACTGTGTTGCTGTCTTTACATACCTTAACAGCCCACAGCAATTCACAAGACAAAGAGGTTGTGCTGCTCAAAGAGGGACTGCTGGTATCCTTCTGGAATCAGACAAACACATGTCAACAGGCTTTGCATGTATTGTAAATAGTCTTTGTTTTTAATGCACAAATACACATTCAGATTTTACAACAAAAAAATACTACTCATCTGCACATTCCTTGGTATGCAATTTTTCTTCATTTTAATCTTCATTTATTTTTATGTGTAAAAGAACTAACAAACATGAGGGCAACAGACAATCCCATTGTTCACCATTATGATTTAACACTCTACTGTTTAGATACCTTCTCCTGGGCTGCCTGGACAAGCTA